GAAAGATTGGATATCAAAATAGACATTTATACACCATTCGATAGAGAATTTCAAGAGCTATATTTTGCACTATTTATATTTGAAAAACGAGAAATTTCGATTTTTCGCCAAATTTCCGCTTGGATGCGATGCCCACTGTGTTACGTACCTTGAAGAAATTTTCAACAAATCAGTGGGTGCTTATAATAGTGTGTGCTTCTACGAAATAAAACGATGATAGGCTTTTAGTAAGAATTTCATAAGAAAGTGACAGGAACGTCTTATCAAAGTCATCGCTCATTCTTTAAATCTTAACGGATTCGTACTAAATTCTTGCCATTTTCGTACAGACTTCTTACGTAAGAATCCGATAAGATTCTCACGAGAATAACGAAAAATGTTTGTCTAGGGTATTTATTTTTCTAGAAACAGGTATGAATTTAATTCGAAATTTTTCACTGCCAAGCAAACAGTGGAAATGGATGTCAATACCTACTCTTCGTAAACCATTTGTTCGCCTTGAAGGCAATGGTAAGGAAAGAGAATTAACATTTACAGCAAATGATCCATTTCTTGCTGTCAATGTCTCTAATCGTCCTGATGGTTCATATTCAACGGGTGATATTCTTATCGAAGATTCACCTGGATCTGAATATTATCTAGTACTTGGACGCAAAGATGATACACTTGTCCATTCAAATGGTGAAAAAACCAATCCTATACCAATTGAAGATATAATAAATTCAAGTATATTAGTAAAAGAATGTGTAGTCATTGGTCATCAGCGTATTTGCAATTGTCTATTAATCGAATTAAATTGGTCACAAGCGGGTGATTATGATTTTCAAGAAATCGAACAACATATATGGTTAAAATGTGAACAAGCCAATCAATTAGTACCAGGTCATTCAAGAATTGTAAAGGAAATGATGAAAATTCTTCCTATGAACAAACATTTACCAGTAACGGACAAAGGAAATGTTATGCGAAAAAAAGCTTCAATAGAATTTCAAACAATAATTGACAAAATGTATGAACAATTTTTGAATATTCAGGGTGTTAATAATCATTCACAGTTGGTCAAACAATGGACATACGAAACATTGGAAACATATTTGAAATCTAATATACAATATTCCAATGAAATTGATAGCTATAAATCTTTATTTGATAGTTATGGTTTCGATTCATTAAGTGCTATCCAACTCAGACATAAAATATGTAAAGATATTGTACAAGTAGAACAAAATTTTCTCTATGAATATTCATCTATTGATAAAATGGTAAAAGAATTGTTAGTGTTATTGGGAGGAAGTAGTAATAAACAAAGTAAAAGTGATGATCCATATCATTGCAAATGGATGGAACATATAATAGAAGAATATGAGAAAGTAATTGAAAAAGAACCACCATTGAGTAAGTTCATCATTTTTTCTGTATGATGTAAAACACATGTTATAATCTGTTTTTGTTTTTGTTTTGCGAAGCTGGTGAAAATAAAGAAGCGATAATCAAACGTGTCTTTCTTATCACCGGTGCCAATGGATCTCTTGGCAGTTGGATTGTACATGATTTATTAAAACAATCAACGGTTGATAAAGTTTATTGTTTACTACGTGGTTCAGATGTCAGACGATTTTATCAAACATTTGAACAACGTTATGATGAACAAATTCTTCTTGATAATAAACAACGTTTTCATGTTTTAACATCAATGGATTTGTCACAAGAACATTTGGGTCAAACACCTCAAATATTTGAAGAATTACAACAAAATGTCACGGATATTATTCATTCAGCATGGAAAATGAATTTTAATTTTAATGTACAAGATTTTGAATACGATTGTATTCGTGGTGTTTATAATTTGTTAAAATTGGCTAAAACAACATCATTCAAACGATTTCATTTTATTTCAAGTGTAGCCTCAGCTGGAAATTCAAAAGAAGATGTAAGAGAAGAACCATTACCAAGACAATCAGATTTACCATTAATAGGACAAGGATATGGACAATCAAAATACATTGGTGAACATATGTGTTGGATTGCAATGAAACAATGGGGTAAAATTGATTAATTTATTCATTTTATTGCATTCTACTAGTTATTTATAATTTCTAGGTATACTGGTCGATATCTATCGTGTTGGACAAATATCCGGTGATACTCAGTATGGTATTTGGAATACATCAGAAATGATTCCTTTGATTATTTGTGGTGGCGGAGGTCAATTAGGTCAAATGCCCGATCGTGGTGAGTCCATTTCATGGATTCCAGTCAATACTGCGAGCAATTGTGTCGTCGATATTGCATTACAATCCTATTCTTATGATAACAATGTTCATCATTTATTAAATCCTCAAACAATTGAATGGTCATACTTCTTAAATGAACTCAATCAAATTGGTTTAAAATTTGACATTGTTTCAATGGAAAAATGGTTGAAAATAATATTACAAAATACATCAACAGATAATCCTTTAATGAAATTATCATCATATTTGGAATCATCGTCGATCCAAAGATTGGCTCACTATGAAACGATAAAAACAACTAGTCGAACAAAATATTTGAAACAATGTCCACAAATTGATCAAAAATTAATACGAAAATATTTGAATTATTGGAATAAAATCGGATTTTTAAAATATGGTTATGAACCATCAGAACAATAAACTCTTCTTTTTTTCTATTTATTTATCGATATTTTTGATTAGTAGCAATAATAATATTTATTTGTCAATATATTTGATTAGTAGTAATAATCATGATTAAGCGCTGCTAATATCCGAGTATTTATTCTCAGTGGCGTCTCTTTATCACAAATGGAAAGGAAATTATTGAAAGCTAAACTTCTCTAACTCACACAGTGTTTTAAAGTTTTATTCTACAATGGAAAGATGAAGAAATTCGTGTTCTACAAACAACTGTGTATTTAGTCCCGTAATTAGTAAAGATTCCCCGATATACTATTTAAAGTGTAACCATGTCTCAGTTTTCAAAAGTTCCGCTTATTCTTTAATTTTTTTTTGCAAAAGGTTTTTGATCGTTCGATGCATCTTTTCACTATTGTTCTTCGTTCACCTCTTGAAAAATGTGCCCATAATATGAGCCGATTTGTACATTACATCATGCTCTCTGATGTGCACGTATACTCAACTCTTTTCCTTACCTCTGTTATAGTCTCAATTTCTACTATTAATTAAGAGGGACGGATCTCCCTGGCTTTTTATATGACTTTGTTGCCCATATTGATATGTTTCAACCCCCTAGACACGTTCTTCCCGTTTTCTTTTAACTTTTAAAAGTTTACGAAATTTTAAGAATTTTTTTTAAAAAGTTCACTATTCATTAAAGAAGTGTATTCTAATGGTAAGACTGGCTTCGATCGATCAACGAGATCGAACTGCATATATGCTGAAATTATTACGAACTTTTAATGAAGTTCGGTTTTTCTTTAAATGGCGCTTGTTGAAAAAAACTAGTATTTTTTAAGGGTATTGCCACTGGCTGTGGTTCAACGAAGTACGACGCAGAAAAACAAAATTCTTCCTACTGACGAGGGAATCTCTCGAGGTGATTAAAAGCTTTTCGACTCAGACTATTTTCATCATGTAGTGAATAGTCAGTAGTGAAAAACCCAAGGGGGAAAAAACAACACTTCACTACAATACACTACACTTTTTCCACTACGGTAGTGGTGTCGTAGTGACTTTGTAGTGGTGACGTATTGAATGTGTAGTAGATGAGTAGTGGGCTGCAGTGGTTATAAGGTGGGCTGTAGCTAGTTGTAGTGGTTGTGTGGTGGGCAGTAGTGGGTGTGCGGCGGGCTGCAGTGGATGTGTAGTGCAGAGTAAAACAAATACGTCCCAGGGGGTCGTATCACGAAAAAACTTAAGTCACCGACTTAAGTCGGGACTTAAGCCTTAGATGAACTTAAGTTTAAGCC